AACATTCAACCTGAACAAACCTCGCAACCGCAATGAATGCATTCTACTATTCGGCCTCTTTCGAGTTTGCCCTAGGCACCTTGCAGATGCAATTTGTACCGAAATTCGGTCTTGTCTGAATGCATCGCAGGCAACATAAGTTTTCATAGCCAACCTTCTTCCATTTGGCAAATCAGATTCTTGTCCGCAATATTTTCGTTCAAACAGTAATCGTACAATTCTGAAATGAAAATACAGAGCTCAGAAAAGATTACTTTTAAATAATTAAAATTAACTTGAATAAAAAAAATAATTATATAATTACAAATAAAATTTTAATAGATTAAAATATAATTAAAAATAAATATGATATAATAGTTTTTAGAAAATATATATAATTATATAAATATATTTATATATAAATATATATAAAAATATATAAAATAACTATATAATTAAAATAAAAATTTTAATAGAATAAAAATATAGTTAAATCTTAAAAATTATGCAACTCACCGCGACTTATCGCTTTTCTTCTGTAAAATAGATCGTATATATAACGCGATTTCTGATGATGAATTTTAAAAATCGGCCACAGAGATTCTTGTTTCCTTTTGCCCTCGTGCGGTTCGGTTTCAGCTATAAAGATAAATCATGTCTTAAAAAGGTTTTTTTTCTTAAAATTGGAGAATTAAATAAAAGTTTAAAAACGGTTAACCTCACAAAGCAGCTTACCTTCGCGCATTTTCTGTTCCAGTTCTTCTAGAGTCGGCTCGATCAACTCCCAGCCATCGGGAGGTGGTTTTTTGCTCCGTCGTACTTTCGGCATACTTTATTCTATTTTATTATTATTTTTCTTTCACTAAAAATATAATGCTTCCAAATATTGCATAAAATAGTCAAGGTTCCAAAAGTCCAAACTTCTGTTTATTTTTACACTAGATGCATTCGATGGAGAAAATTCCTAGATATCGGTCGATTGCTACCTAGGAATTTCTTCCGTTGAATGCGATGGAGAATATCAGCTCTGCTCCAATGCGGTCGTATTGATGCGCTCCTCGAATTGGACCAATACGAGCGCATTGAAGTAAAACGGAGCAAGTTGGGGCATACGACGCCACAGATTAATAGACAGATCGCCAAAGGCCTGCCTAAAGAAGAGACCGCCATCTTCATGCGATAGACTTTGCCCCTTACCGACACACTTTGCCCCTGGTTCGAGTCCGTGCTAAATTTCGTAGACTCGACCAAAAGACTTTGCCCCTGGTGCAAGTCCAGGCTAAATTCGTTTCACATTACCAACAGACTTAGCCCCTGGTGCGAATCCAGGCTAATTGATCATGAGACCAATTTGAGAGATTTGGCCCCCGTTGTGTGTGTGTGTGTGAGAGAGAGAGAGAGAGAGAGAGAGAGAGAGAGAGAATATTTTACATATGCATATATATATATATAAAATTATTAAATATAAAAAATATATATATATATTTTATAAATTAAACTTCGGCTAATACAATTAAAATATGTGATATAATAAAAGGCCAACTTAACGAGCTTATATGCTATTAATTGAAAAATTTTATTTATTAATTTACGTCATACTATACAAAAGTTACGATAAACGTTTCGACTGTACGACAGTCTTTCTCAATATCCTAATAATATGTTAAAAAATTAATTTAGTCATTTCGACATCATAAATAAATACAACAATTATAAGATTATATGACGAACGCAGTACAAATTCATGTTTGTTGGCATGAGTTAGAGCGTCAGATGCTGTTATATTATGTATATAACGACACTGTGAACAAATTAATATATCCGCTCAAATATTACCTTTAGATTTTTAATAAATAGTATTAACTTACTTTTTTGTCAACGAACATAACACTTTTTTTAAAAAATTATTTCTTTTTACTTAACATAATCACAATGTGTACTTTTTTAAAAAACAAATCGATGTCTGTATCTTACAATGTCGGCGCGCTGTATATATACCCAATTTTTAAGATGACGTAGACAATTTTTTTAGAATATCATAATAACTCCGGTTTCAGTGTTGCCAACGCCGAGAAACCAATTCTCGGGTTTTATGTAGTGGTGTATGTCTGTACACGTACATACACCACTGCATCGCTCACGCGGACGCACGTAAGAGAAACAAGAACCGATAATCACGTGTTCTCTTGTTCCTCTACCGTGCCGGTATACGCGAGATGCCACCTAAAAATGCTTTCTGGCCTTCCGTAGCAGAAAGCAGTAACGTAGCAAGACTAATAAGCACCCATTTTTGTAAATTTTATATATGCTTATGCACATATGTGGATATATTATTTATATATAAATATATATAAAAATAGTGTATATATATATATATATATATATATATATATATACTAATTTACTCTCAATTATATATGCTACTGTTATAATTTATCATTAGACAATTATAAAACAGAGGTTATAGATTTGGTCTGACTACACTGGCCTCAAATTAAAGTTGTATATATATTTATTTTAACGTTTCGACCATACGGGATGTGGTCCTTTTCAAAAATACAGATTGGAATATCAGAGAGTTACAGCATTTCGTCTTTAAGATGTAAGCGCAAATTATGATTCGGAGAGATTTAACTTGTCAAATAATAAAATATAAAATAAATTATAAAATATATATACATATATAATTTGTAGTGCTATATATATATATATATATATATATATATATATATGTGTGTTTTATAATTGTCTAATGATAAATAATAACAGTAGCATATAATTGAAAGTAAATTAGTCTACAATCAATTAAAATTAATATCAATCAAAATTAATATTTGTCGCTAGTGGTGAAAATAAGCTTAATAAACGACTTGACTACGACGTAACTAGCAATTTTATTTGATTATTTCACAATATGTGAAATATTGTGAAATAATCAAATAAAATTGCTAGTTACGTCGTAGTCAAGTCGTTTAAGCTTACAATTAGTCTACAATGTTAGACACGGGTACTTGTTAGATTTGATAATTTATTGCTTATATTTTTTCGAGAGACAAGAATAAGAGAACGAATATAAATTATTATTAGCTTGTATAGCAATCATAGATTGACGAATATGCGTTGGTTATTCTTGATTTCTTTTCTATTATTGATGTTATTGTATAATTTGCTCCATAAATACTTATAACATAAAAGAACTTATGTCGAGTAATATTGATCAATGTAAATTATTAGAGTTCAAATATATCAATATCAATTTTTTAATAATATATTGGAATACAGAGAAATGATAAAAAAATATATTTCGGCAATAAAAATTTTATAAATATATTGAAAATATTTTTACTACACGCGCGCGTGCGCACACACACACACCCACATACACACTATATAAATGCAAAATAATACTGTAGATAACTATAAATATATAGAAAATTAATTAATTATAATATATAAAATTGATGTAACTCGTGAATAATACAAATATTTAAATTTCAAAAATATTTTTAGGATTACTCGATCAGCGGCTTAATGGGACATTGTTATTTTGAAAAGTGCGATTTTGTAGAAGCTATTCGCTGCTACGAATTTTCTAACGCGATGTATAATCGACCGGACGATTTGCATCTCGTACAAACGAGGTAAAAATGTTTGTCTCGTTGCATTACGTAAGATGATTGAAAGAGAAGACGAGTTATTAATGACAGCATTACACAATGTCGATAGAATGGGACTGTATTACAAAGATATTGGCAGTTACGAGCGCGCGTTAAAAGTTTTCCTCAACGCATGCCAGACTTCACCGACGGCAGAAACGTGGCTAGGTGCGGGAATCGCTTTTTACGAGGTAAATTCAATAATAAAAATAAAATCCAATAATAATAATGCAAATAATATGAAATTAAGATAAGGCCCGTGTATAAATTAAAATCAAACAATCCAACAATAAGCCAACTTGCGGGCCAAAAGATTAAGAAGTTACAAGATTCTTTATTAAAGATATAAAATAAAAAATAATATAAAATATAATAGAATTAATCCAATTAAATAAACAAGTAAACGTTTCGATAGTATAACTATCTTCTTCAATACAATGGTAACAGGAAACTTTAATTTCCTGTATCTCATCAACTTATCATCACGTTCTATAACGGTTTCGTTATCACAAGGACAATTTTTACAATGAAGGAAACAACTGCGGAATTCTCATGACTTGTTACATATTACATTTTTAACACACTGACGATTCCCGGATCACAATATTTAGACGTTTGAAAAATGTGAATCTAAAGAAATCTGATTTTATGCGTTTACCATCGAAAAAAATTAGAATTATCAGCGCCTTATTTTAATGGGATTTGTAGCGTAACCATAACGATAGTCGTATCATGTTGTGGTATATGTGTTGTTATTTTAAAAATCTGTAATTAGTTAATTTCGTACAGTTAGATATAGATTCTTTCTTTCTAATAAGTTTGAGGATGTAAAGAATTTTTAATGTAAGAATATTTCTTAAATTTATTGTTATTTATTTATTAAAGAAGATAGTTGTACTGTCGAAACGTTTACTTGTTTATTTAATTGGATTAATTCTATTATATTTAGTATTATTTTTTATTTTATGTCTTTAATAAAAAATCTTGTAACTTCTTAATCTTTCGGCTCACAAGTTGGCCTATTATTGGATTGTTTGATTTTAATAAAATTCAAGCTTCTGAAAAATAAAATTGCTAATTAAAAAAAATTATATTACAAAGTAAATCGCATATGAATGTTTTAAAAATTATTTTTATACATGTCCCTAACAGCACACATGTCCGAAAGACATTTAGAGGATATCCAGAAGATATAAAAAATATCCTTGAAAAAACATAATGAAAAAATAATATCTATAAAAATAATTAGTTGCAGCGATTTACGGAAGCGGAGGCAGCTTTATCAGAAGCGAATCAAATCGACAATCGTAACGTGACTGTTTGGAAGTACTTATGTCTGTTAAATATGTCTTTGCAACGTCACGATGAATTCGTTCAGTGCCGGACACAGATCGCTCAGGTGAAATGTTATTAACAAGAAGCGTTGATTGAGGTTTTTGCTGTTTTTCAGTGATATGTTGTCGTTGTCTCGTAGGACGATACGACTTTCTCTTTAGAAAAACGGTCCCTCAAACCGCGAGATGGAAAACTGGTCATGCTCTAAATGCAGCCACGTAAATACATATAAGCTTCTCCTCTCCTTAATTCGGAGATTCAGTCAGCTATTCTACGACGATCACGATGAGATTATTGGTGAGTCAGACCGCGGACTATATGCAAATACAGCATGTTTTGCAACTAATGATACAACGGGAAGATAATAATTTTATAGAAGATACGAAAATTCTATAAAATAACATATACACACATAAGTCAAAAATGTAAAATGAAATTTTTTATATAAGGCTACTTATTTACGCGAAAATTATATAATAACATATTGACGACTTTTTAAACTTGAACAATTTTTCGTTACATTTTCGAATTCATCACTCATTTCGCGATAGTGATTGTTAATATATAGACATAAAAACCAACATTTTCTCACCCCTATTTACTAAAATAATAATTAAAATTATTAAAAAATGTACATAAAAGTATCTAAAAAAATTAATTTTTTTAATAGAGTAAATACACAATTTTTTATACAAATTTTTTAAATAGTCACGAAATAAAAAAATGTATATAATCGTTAGAGATCATTTAAATTAAAAAGAATTTTCCAATTTTCAAAATTTAAAGTCGATTTTTCTGAAAAATAAAGTCTCGTTTAAAAAAAATTTTATTCTATATTTTCAATTTATTTTTGTTTCATGTAGCATCATTATCTTTTCTGTATCATTAATTATGAAAGACATCTGCATTTTTAAATCTTTTATCTTTAGCTGCAATTTCGCAATAATATTCATAATGCGGAATAGAATATTGAGTCACATATCAAATGATTAATACTTTTTGTGTGTAGTGTACGCTATTTATACTCAGTCTGCTTCAAATAGTGATGTTTACTGCGATGATAAATTGCGATGAATCAAGAAGCGTTATACGTCACAAAATTGGAAAAAAAGGTAATATCGCAGACTGTGCGGCAATAATATTATAAAACACGAAAGCGCTTGCGTTGATAAAAT